CTGCTGGATATGGGCACCAGTGACCCACGCAACCCTGAAAAGGAAGAAGCGTGTACAGAAAATGGATGGATGGAGGAAAAAACAGTCATGACAGACTCATGATCTGAGGGGGTGTGCAAATTGAGTCAAACTCGGTCATTAAGTCCAGTACAGGAAAAACAATGTACAACTGCCACAGGTTATTATTTATGTAATGACTGGGAGGTAGAGTTGTTTGCAATTATTTTAATTAAAACATGGATGCTTATCATGATTGTTGGGAGCAGTGATGGTTATAGAGTCTGACAGCTGATGGGAGGAAGGATCTGCAGTAACGCTCCTTTGTGCATTTAGGATGCAGCAGTCTGTCACTGAAGGAGCTCTGCAGATCAGCCACAGTTCCATTCATTGGGTGGAAATCATTAGGGCTGCACGATAGTAGGAAAATCTGCGATGTGCGATAACAGTGCTTAATATTGCGATGACGACATGACTTGCGATAAATGAAACAATACATGTGTAGTGTTGAGATATTTCTGCTCTGGGTTCAAAGACAAAACAAAAAAAAAAAAAAAAAAAAAAAAAAAAAAAAAACTAATAATTTCCATTTCAGCCTGATTTTATTTTTTTTAATGAAGAGACATATCCACTTGACCAAATACATGAAGAGCTCCATTAGATTGGTGAAATATTTCAAGCTTCCATCTGAATGACAAAAAGCATTATGCAAACTATTTAGTCAACCGTTTATTACAGTTTATGCAGTTGTTGCAATATGCACATTGTGCAGACTATTATTGCGATGACAATAAATTGTAGATATATTGTGCAGCCCTAGAAATCATAAAGTGATCAATCAAGGAAACTAAGTTTTTCAGTTGTGTCTCCTAAACTGTGGAGCCAGCTGTCCCTTCATATTAGACAGGCTTCAACTCTTGGTGTTTTTAAGTCTCACATTAAAACACACCTGTTTTCCAGAGCTATTAATTCAGCATGAGAGCTGGCTATTTTCCACTTATAAAGTTTTGTTCTATGTTTATATTTTTTAATTGTTCTTAACTTTGTACTTTGTTTTTCTTCTAGTTGTAACATGTGAAGCACTTTGGCCAACAGCAGTTGTTTTTAATGTGCTATATAAATAAAGTTGACTTGACTTGAAAGTGCTTTTTTCACTTCACAAATTGGAAGATGTTTTGGGGTCTCATGTACAAAGGTTGTGTAAACACAAAAATATGGCGTATGCTCTTTTCCTAAGATGTATCAGACATAAAATAACCACGGAAATGTGCTCGGCTCAACATCAATTTCACAGCTGGCCTAATGGGTGAGTTTCTAAATGGTTGGTTGGGTTTTACTTACTCTAAAAAAAACATGTTTGGAATCATATTTAGGGTCTAAACTCTAAAAACAGGTATTTCTAGACATTTGTTAGACCACAACTAAAATTTACGTGTGCTCAGCACTCAGCAGTCCAAATTTTACTCCTAGCTGTCCTAGAAAGTTAGCAGCCTTTTGTTTTAGCTTTCATTCTTCTCTGTTTAGCTTCTGTTCCAGTTTTAACAGTTCCATCAGCAAATCTCAGAATACACTGCACATTTTCACAGAAAATACAAATTCTCTAGTTCACTCTGAACATAGATACACTTTATATTTATATAAGCATTGCTGGGTTGCTGCAGGTTGTCACAGGACTGTACGCAAAGCTAACTGCTAACTGGACATGATCCAGCCTCAATCTGCAGGATTCGTGAAACAACGACTTCCTGAACTGGGCTGAACTAGTCAGAGTAAACAGGAAGCAGCTGATGTGATGATGTCAGAGCTCACCTGTAGAGAGGATTGAGAGCGATGATGTCTCTGATGGTCTTCACGATCTCAGCCGTCAGCGCCTGGAAACCAAAGCAGGTCTTGGTGAGTATTTTGCACCTGTTTGGTGGGGGGTTGGGTTGTGGGGACGACATGCTGCGCTGCATTCTGCACCTTTACTTCCTCCGTGACGGTGAACTGCTCATGCTGCACGTTGTCCACTTCAACCATCAGGACGTCAGACGAGGCGAGCGGCTGAAGCTCTGGACTCAGGTCTGCCCCTGAAATCTAACGGTACAAATGCTGACAGGGTCAAAGGTCAGCTTTGGTTCGTTCGTCTCTCCTGATCAATGAAGTGGACAGAAACAAACCTCGTCTTCAAGCTGCTGGGTCAGAGAGGCCGACCGCTCCTTACGGCTGCGTTTGGACTTACGTCTCAGCGCAGATTTGAGCTGGGGGTCCGACTCAGGTTCAGACAACTCGGGCGATGTGGGTACATCCTCGGCCTCAATGTCCAGCTGCCGTGTGATCCGGATCCTGAGAAAACCAGAACATGCATGAAGAACAGACACCTTTGAGGGTGTGTTTGTGATTGGTTGGATTGACTATCTTGGGTGGGGTTTGAAGAAGTTGGGGTGCAGCTGGGAGTAGATTGGTCGAAACGGCCAAGAAGCAACTATATTATTTAAATATAAATATTAATTTAGCCATAACTCTAGACAGGAAGGTGCTAGCTACACAAAATTTGTAAGCTCAGTTTCCTGCATGTAATTTGGGCTCTAAATTGAACTAATTTTAACCGTATCAAAAATTTGGTTCAGGTGTACACACATAGTCCAGGTTCTGTGCGTAATATACACATTCTTGACTTTTCATAATGCCTGTAGAATTTGCACATCAGAACCAAAAGTCTCCACAGACAGTTTGCAACCTTCTATGGCAGGGTTCCTATAGTTTAAGGCAAGTTAAATTTAAGACTTTTTAATGCCAGGTGAAATCAAATTTAAGACTAATTTCACAATAAACACAAATGACAAAAAAATAAAAATAAAAAACAAAAAAATAAATAAAATTGTGGCAGAAACTCATAAATTAAAGTATTATTCCAATATTTCTAATAGACCAATTGCTTTTATCAATATCTAACTGCTTTTTTTTTTTCAAATATAGAAAAAAAACATTCTTAGCACTCAGTTTTAAACTTAATTTAATTCATGGAAATCCTCTACTGACCCAAAATTTGGAGTTTTATGACCCACAGTGGGTTATCAACCCCAGTAAACATTTTTAAGACTTCTGAAGATTGATTTAAGACATTTTAAGGCTAATTAAGGCCTTATTTTGGACTGATGAATTCAGGCCTTTTAAGACTTTTTAAGGCTCCATGGGAACCCTGTAGGGGGCAAAACTCACAAGTGCCATACAAATCTAAAGTGTAGTTTCACCTCATCTTTACCTGCTGGCTGCCTAAAGGGGCACTTAAAGCAGGCAGTGAGTGAAGCCAAACCAACATCCAGCTGCTGTGTGATCTGGGTCCTGACGGACCAGAACACGCACCGGGTGCAGCCCACCAACCCCTCCATCAGCTGCAGAGTATCTGACCTGCGGTGGCCCATGACGATCATCCTCAGCTTGTCTCCTAGATCCTGCATCTCATGGATCTGAACGAAGGTCCCCGTAGAATAAACGTCATGGAGGGATTCCACCACATCCGACTCATTACTGGAGGAGACAAATAAATGTTTGTTTTAAAAACATCAAAGAAAAACAGATTAATTTCACTGTCTGCCTCGACTCTGTAACAAGCAAAATAACATGGAAATAAACTATTATTACTAAGAGTTTTAGTCTAAAAACCATTTTGTGTTAAAAAATTACTAATGACCTCATGTACAATACCATATTCAGAGTATGTGCTCCGAATGACCCTCTCTACCACAGCATCTGTAAAACTGTGTCCTTTTGACCATTTAAGGTCAGCTCACTGCAAAAAATGTCCACCTAACCAAGTTTTAAAATCTTATATCAGCCAAAAAGTCTTTTTGATCTTCTTTTGAGACTGATTTACTAAACAAGAACTGATTGTGTAAGAATAATAATCTTGTTTTCAGAATGTGTAATATTATTTGTCTTGTTAGCCTGAAAATTTGACTCAAATTAAGTCAAAAATTTCTGCCAATGGAGTAAGAAAATTTTACTTGGTAAGATTCTTGAAATACTTGATTTGACTCAATTTCCTCTTATTTCAAGAATTTTACCAAGTAAAATTTTCTTACTTCATTGGCAGAAATTCTTGACTTAATTTGAGTCAAATTTTCAGGCTAACAAGACAAATAATCTTACACATTCTGAAAACAAGATTATAATTCTTACACAATCAGTTTTTGTTTAGTAAATCAGTCTCAAAACAAGATCAAAAAGACTTTTTGGCTGATATAAGGCTTTAAAACTTGGTAAGATGGACAGTTTTTGCAGTGCAGCTTGAATTGAGTAGGGCTGAAAGTCTGCTGAAAATAGATAAGAGTTGAAAAAAAAACATCTAGAAGAAACGTTAAAAAGGAAAACAACAGTGCTGAATCAGCATTTGTGTTTTTTTTATATACCATTTATATAAATCAAATAAAAAAGTTTTATTCTCTGTATTTTACGGTTCAAGTTTGTTTTGCTGATCTGGAAAAAGGTGAATTAATGAGAGAAGAAGCAGAAATGCTTCATTTCACAGGAAAGGTAGCGGAGGCCTGGGCCAACACATCATCGTTCACAGTTAAAACAGAGTTTGTGTCACACAGCACCGCAACACAACCGCCGATCCAGAAAAAAGAAGTGACTCACTTGTCATCCTTCTTCAAAAAGACTCCGGCGTACGGCAGAGCAAGACGCACTTTCCTCCTCAGCAGGTCCATCAAGGCTTTGTTCTTCACCTGGCAGGAAGACATGAGGGCACAGAGAGCAGGTGACCTTTAACCCCTGGATCCTGACAGGCCTTCTCATGTGGCCCTCTGAATGTCTGATATCAGGATGATTTTAATCAGAGGCAACCATAAGGAGGCAGTTAAATCCACTGATTTTAATCGTCCATTATTGGCCAACTAAATATTTTTTAAATCAGCTATCAGCCATGCCTGTACACTTTATCATTTAGTGAGTATAAACAAATTCAAATGCAGTAGCAGCTGCTACAACCAGCTGAAGGTAGCCCACCTTTTAGATTTTTAAGTAAGAATGCTCTTCTGTAAAATATTTCAGAGTTGTAAAGTAACTATTAGTACAAATACTTTGTTACTGTACTTAAGTAGAAATTTTGGTTATCTGTACTTTACTTGAGTAATTATTTTTCAGTGTATTTTTTACTTTTACTCATTACATTTTTACACAATTATCTGTACTTTGTACTAACTACATTTTTAAAAAAGTTAATAAGTAGAAAGTCGTTACTCCTATATTATTCCAAGTTGTTATTACTTTAAAAAATACTATCCTGATAAATTGTGTCTCCTGGACAGAGTGAATTTAATTGTGGTTGGATGAGAAGTATAAATATTTTGACACACTATTAGTTTGTACACAACCCATCACAGCTGCATGCTGTTAGAAAAAATACTTTTTGGAGAAGTCACCTCCCAATAAATGTCATTTTGGAAAATCTAACTGCTCACTTTTACTCAGTACTTTTACTTTTAATACTTACGTAGATTTTGTGTCAGAAATTTTCTTTTGATACGTTAAGTACAAAAAATATGATACTTTAAGACTTTTACTCAAGTAATATTTTTAGAGAAGACTTTAACTTTTACCAAAGTATTTTTATGATAAGATACTTGTACTTTTACTCAAGTAATATTTTTAGAGAAGACTTTAACTTTTACCAAAGTATTTTTATGATAAGATACTTGTACTTTTACTCATCACTTTGAGGTACTTTATACAACACTGGTAATTAGTAAAAGTTCTGTTCAGGTTAGAATAACAGCACTGGTCAGTTCATCATGGTAACACTGTGTCACTGGTTTCTTTCTGCTCACCAGTTGCTGGGAGGCTAGTTACACAACACTCCTATCTTTTTTTTATTTAAAACCACAAAAAGAACATTCTTTAATTATTAATTTTATTTACAGGTTAACTCAATGTGCTACCTGTTGAATAGACATATTTATAAAAATATAAATGAAAGTACGTCCTGAGGTAGCGAACTGCTTCGACCCCCTCAGTCTGAGTCCATGATGCTCACCTCTATGATCTTTATGAAGCGGGGGAAGACCGGGTTTCTGGAAACAGCTATCAGCGGGACATTAGGAAACACCTCCGGAACTATCATGGGGGTCAGAGCCGTCATCTGAGCTCCACTGTACGGTATTTCATCATCTCCCCCTCCGGACTCTTCTCCACCAGAACCCGCGTTTTCTGGCTCGTCCTCCCCGGAAAATCCGGACCCGCTGGCCCGGTTACCGTAGAACCGAGTCTGGAGGGTGCAGGGTCCGGAGGAACAGGTATTAAGGAGGGGGACATGTGCGACCCGGACCCAGCGGTCGAGCCTGGAAAGCCCACCGGCTGTCGCTGCCTTGACTCTGGTACAAGACGAGTTCTGGGAGGTGGAGGACGGGCTGAGAAGTCGCGTGGACCGGACCTGGTTTGGTCCTGAAGTCTGGGTCTGGCGGGGGACAGGTCGGAGTCTGTAGGACCGTTCAAACAGAGCCGGGTTTCTGTGGAGCTGCCTGGCAGCGATGATGATCTTCATGTAGGACGCCATGTTGATCTGGAGCATTCTGGCACGCGACTGAGCACTTCCGGCAACGGATGATGATGTAACCATCTACCAAGGCCAATACTTACTGCTAATAAAAACTTTTTTGAGCTGCTTTCAGCCTCTTAAGCTGCTTTTAGAATATTTCTTCGAACGTCTGCTTTCTTTTTTTTTCATTTATTCATTTCATTTAAAATAAACAAAACAGATTTCATACAATAAAAGAATACAAATCAAATTAATGAAAGGCAGCAGAAGAAAAAAATTCTTATGAAATCTGCTTAAAAATTTTTTTCAAACAATAATAAACCAAATAATAAAACAAAACAAAAAATCAACTCCTCAAACAGTAACTAATCCAAATTAAACAATTTCATATTTCTTTAACAATTTTGTTTTGATTGTTTTCTTAAAGGAATTAACTGATCCAGTGCTTTTATAGTCATTTTCCAGATTATTCCATAGTCTTATACCTTTTACTGAAGTGCATCTGTCCTTCAAATTTGTTCAGATTTTTGGTTTAACAAACATTGATAATCCCTTCAAATTACAGCAGCTTTCCCTCTCAACAAAATGTGATTGGCTGTTTGACTGCAACACATTTCTTTGAGCTTTATACATAATCTGCAGCATGCTATAATCAACCAACACATGAAATTTTAATGATTTTAATTGGTAGATATAATAACATATAAGAAGGGCGACAGTAATGCTTTCTTGTAATAGTTCTTATGGTATGTCTGCTTTCTGGTAATTTCATCTTTTTCTGCTTTTTCAGACTCTTTCTTTCATTGAAACTTTTGGGTTTATTTCAGGTTTTAGTTGGTTTTAGCTCCTTTCTTATAATTTCTTCCTCTTTCTACTAATGTCATCTTATTCACCTATTTTTCAACTAATTTTTATTTTTTGGCTACTTTTCATCTAGTTGATCCCTTCCCCCTTATTTAAGCTTGTTTGTGCTCTTTCAACCTCTCTCTGCTAATTTCAGCTTTTTTAGATACTTTCAGTTAGTCTTCTGTTCATTTTAGCTGTTTTTTTACTCTGTATTTTTTTCCTAATTGATGGATTTTCTGAAATAAAGGATTTAACGAGTCAATTGTATTTATTTAAAGATTTGTTTAAAAAGAATTAATACAAAAGCAGGTCATAAGTTCAAATTTCTGTTGCAGTGGTGGAAGTTAAATCCAAAACAAGGAGTATGTCTACATCTTGATTCATCCATGAGCCAGTCACATTTCAGGAAGCTCTGGTGATGATGCATCCCAGAGCCAAAGACCCAAGCTTTCTGGATTACACAGATAAGGAACCATAACAAAATCCAAAGATACAGTTCTCCAAATATTCTTGTTTGCAAAAACTCATAGTATCTTTGGGTTCACAAGTATGAAATGTTCTTTGATCACTCCTAACTTTGTATAAAGATCTTGATGCACAAAAGGTACCAAATGTACAGTTTTCTATCCACAATTCCTCTTTTGTTATAACAATTTTAAAAAATGGTCAAATACAACAGAAACAACTTGGAGATCACTTCTGGATAACTGTCTGACACATGAAACATTAAATCAACAAAGTAGAAAATGCAGAACAGACAGGAGGTCTCTTCAGTGATCATTACTACATTTTGTAACAGGTATTGAAAATGTAACAGTCTCTCCTCTGCTGACGTGGAGAGGCAGCTTAAGAGGACTCCAGGTGTGGCAAGGTAAGCAAAAGATGTAGAACAAAAGAAAAGAAAAGACAGTAAAACAAAACAGAATAAAGAAAATGATGTTTATTGTTTATTGGCGGAGGCCTTCTCTTCTGAGTCCTCAATATCTGAGCAAAAAGCAGTGGTGTGATGCAACAAAGTACGTTCAACTTTTACTCCACTAAGATCTACATTTTACATTAAGTATCTGTACTTTCTCCTCCATTACATTTCTATAATGCAGTGGAGAAGAAAGTACAGAAACTTAATATACAGTATTTCCATTACAGATTACATTCACATCACATTACAGCTTTTTTTTTTTTTTTTTTTTGACCAGAAGGTCACCAGTTCGATCCCTGGTCCAGCCGTTTCAGTCGTTGTGTCCTTGGGCAAGACACTTCACCCACCTTGCCTATTGATGGTGGTCAGAGGGTCCGGTAGCACCGGTGCATGGCAGCCCCGCCTCTTTCAGTGTCCCAGGGCAGCTGTGGCTACAGTGTAGCTTACCATCATCAGTGTGTGAATGTGTGTGTGCATGGGTGAATGTCTGTTAGTGTAAAGTGCTTTGGGGTCCGGAGAGACTTGATAAAGCGCTCTATAAGTTCAGTACCATTTACCATTTATGATTTTTTAGTTTGAAAGTAATCAATGGTGAGAGGGTAATTGCTGTAATTGGTCCACTGAACCCTACAAAGCAGGAAACACCCTCCTTCAAGAAGAGCAGGGTGATTCCACATCACCTGCTGGAGCATCAGCGGCATCACTAGCAGGCCCAAAATGGAGTTTATCGATTCAAAAAACAACTCATGGAGATTCAATAGAGCAGATTGGTGGCAAATTTACATCTTCTGTAGCTGTTGTCACAATCTCTGATGATACACAGAATCACAAGTCCAAGTGTGAGCAGTGTCACAGAGGGTAAACACAAAAACATGCATTATCTGCAGCATTGTTCACTAAAATGACACACCACTGATATATTAAATATATAGTAGGCACACTTCATGATATTGTAAACCATTAGGGAATACATTAAGCACATACTTTTACTTTTCATACTTTAAGCATTTGAGAAGCAAATACTTACTTACTCAAGTAAAAATGTGGTACTTTCACTTTTACTAGAGTACATTTTTTTCTGTTTATCTGTACTTTTGCGTTGGAGTACTTTCTTCACCACTGGTGAAAAGACAATGATAAATCAGACAGACATGTGATGATAACCAAAGATGAAATGCATCTCCTGGTGATCGGAATGATGGAACAGGTGTTAAAATAAGAATGATTTATGCGTCATAGGTGTGGTGTTATTGTCCTCACCAACCACACACACCATCCCACCACAACAGGCTCAGCCCCACTTAAACTAAATTCATTCACCCCACAAAGTAGCTCCTTCAGTATTTACTGAACTTGTCATGCATTGCTTTGTTCTGTGTATTTTTCAACAACTTTGACCATTTTAAATTACATTTAAATTAAATTTAAAATAGGTTTCAGGGATTCCTTCCCAGTTTTGTATTTATTTACAGTCATAGGGCGGTACAGCCCAATGCCCTGCGTTTGTCAGTGAATTTATCATGTTCATGTATATAGCTACTTCCCCTGTCGGCAATAATCAGTACTACCTTATGGACACTGCTTTCTGCTGGTTTTAGCGCATTGATACGAACAATAACCAAACACAGGAATAGCGCTCGGCAAAAGTTTTATTATCCATCAGAAGAGATATTCATATTAAAAATGTATTTGGAGCAGAGAGAAAGGCTGAACAGAACAACAAAAACTGACGACATAAAGAGAAATAAGAAAAAGTGACTTTTGTTGAGAAGGTGGGACTGTTTTTAACCTAATCTGTGGTGACGTTTTACTATACTATCTCTGCGCTAATAGCTGCAGTTCAGAAATCTGTTGAGCTGCCACGTTTTTTATTTCATTTTATTTTTTTGTACTTTAGATTTGGAATCGGTTCACAAGACGTCTTCCCACCATTTAACTTAGTTAATCTGGAGTATTATTACAGGGTTATTACTCAAATTTAGAAATCCAATGAATGAATCCAGAAAGCTGCGAACTTCTGATTAATTTGAACCACAGCTAAAATAAAAAAAATGTTATTATTATTAATATATTATAAGACACAACCTGCAGTGAGGAAGTTAAGAGATGACAAGTAGCTTAAATAGGCAACATTTGTGTTTTTCATTGATTACGTGCCAAAAATTGTAACATTCATGTTGATATTGATTTAGGAAATTAATGTCTATCCTCACGACCCACGAGCTGCTGCGGCCCCACAGTCAACCAGTCAGTGACTGAGGAGGTCAAATTTAGGAATCAGTACAACTGTGATGAGGCCTCCTCCTAAAGCTCAACGTTCAGTTCCATCTGGTGCTGTAAAGTCACATTACACATCACCTTCATCAGAGGAGAAGATGCTGAAATCCTTCAACAAGCAAAGTTTATGTTCCTCACCTTGCTTAATCAAGAAGTGAACTTTTGGGTTCACAAATCATTCTTTTTACTTTTAAAGTTTGTTTTTTATTTTTTCCTCTTATAGGAGGCATAAAGACCAGTCACTCCAAGTGTTTGATTGTGCAGTGATTTCTTGATGATGTTAAAGTGATTTTTAACCATTAAGAGGTGTCTGATTTCAGCTTAGTAGGTTTAATATACAATGATTTTATTCTTGAATACAAAAACCAAAGAGCAGAAAAATAATATTTAGTGGCAGAATAAAGCATTTAAATGTTACAACTCTGATTCCAATTAGTTTCTCCTGTGAGAAACGATCCATTATGGACTAATTTGAAAGCAGCGAGACAATTATGATCACGTTCTGAAAGTCTAAAAAATTAGATAAAGTTGTAGATTTTTAGTCACATAAATCTCAGAGCACAAACCTAAGTTTTTTCATCTTGCCTAGATAAATCTTACAACCCTTTTAGTAACAGATAAATCTATACTCCCTTTAGAGCATTATAATACCTATTTCTTTACCCACATTTATAATGCAATACAAATGTTTGAACACTGAATTGTCTGACTCAGTTTAAAGTAATATGCAGTTTAACGTGATACAGCACATAGGCGGTAGGGTTTGGGAAGGCGAGTTGCCCCCAGCTTGAACTCCAGACTGGGCTTCTCGCCTGCAGGAGAGGACACCTTAAACCTCTGAAGGATGGAGGTAAAAAACAGGAACAACTCCATCCTGGCCAGCTGTTCTCCAAGACACACGCGCTTACCTGAGAATTTAAATACAAAACATTTACTCTGTAAATGTGTAAGAAACTGAGGCTGCAGTAATAATCTTAATTAAAGTAAGGACATGAACATTGGTACAGAGCTGTACAGTGACACTGAATTTAAAAAAATTGTGTGGCCAAGAGACATTGGGCCTCATGCAAGAACATGTTCGTATTCTTATCCTAAATTTCTCTTACTTTTGTTCGTACAAAGGGTTCGTACGAACATGTCACGTC